GCACCCACACCCACACCCATCCACCCCACCAACACCCACACCCATCCGCACCCACACCCACACCCACCCACATCCACACCCACACCTACACCCTCATCATTTTTTTTTATCATTCACACTCTCACTCTCATCCACCTTCATATCCTTGAGATTGAATGCCATCTAGGTGAGAAGATTTTTTTTAATAAAAACTGCAAGCCATAAGTATTTATTATTGTGTTATTAATTTTACTTGTTTCACCAAAACAATAAAGCAATGCTAAACTAAAGTAAGAGACGCTAATTGAGAAACAACAAAAAAAGACACTAGTATTCAGGGTTGCCAGATCGAAAACTCAAAAATCAGAATTTTTCTATTCGAAATCAGAAAACCATCAGAATTTTTTTTTGCGAAATCAGAAATTAATCGGAAAAGTCAGTTTTTGAAAAACCTAGTAGTTATTATGGTGTCATGTTGGTACAAGATGCTCTGTTGAATCGCTGTTCATTAATCCATACTTTATTTTCAAAGATATTTCGCTATAAAAAAGCATAATACAATGAATGTACTGTTTAGCTAACAAGGAAAAACTAATGAAGACACGTAGTGTCGAACTCTTTCGCTAAACTCAAAATTCGTTCACAAAAAAGGTATTAGGATTTATTATAAGCTTCAGTTCACCTTCAGCAGCTGACTGTATAACTTCGACACCACAAATCAGCAATAGAGAGAAAAGATAATGCAATATTAATCTATTGTAGTAATGGGTCATGATAAGATTTCATTTCGCTAAAAAAAGCTGTGATATGATTTAGAAAAGTTTAGAATTCAGGATAAAAAGCTGTTAGCGCAATCCCTTGTGGGATTAAAAATGTGAAACACGATGGATCTACTGCTACTAATTAAATGGAAATCATTTTGTTCCATTTCTTTGCAATCCATTTGTAGCGAACCGTTTACCTGATGATTTAGAACTACAGTTTCTCTGTCACGGTCTGTGATGGATCGAAACCCCGTCTGTCACGGTCTGTGATGCGTCCAAAGCCCGTCTGTCACGGTCTGTGATGGGTCCAAAGCCCGTCT